AATCCTCATGCAAGGATATGTTTGTTTATTGATTTGAGAGAGAGAGAGAGAGAGAGAGAGAGAGAGAGAGAGAGCTGAGAGAGAAACATCGCATCAATCCATTGCCTTGCCTTCTGTACGTGCCCCAACCAGGATCGAATCAGAAGCCTAGATAAGTGCCCTAGTAATCCAAACAGTGGAATTACATTTCTTGTCAAGGAAATATAAAGTACAAGTTGTTAAACTTTCAAAAATAGAATCGATAGTATGTACAGTATAATCCTAATGTCAACCTCAATAAAGAGGTAAACTGAGTCAAGCTCAAAATGATGAAAAAGATGAATTTATTCAAGAATAACTTGAATACCTTTTATTTCTCCTTCTTGGTTAGCATTTTCAATACTATGTTGAATAAGAATGGTGAAAATGGGCATCCCTGTCTTGTTCCCTATTCTTAGGGGAAATGGTCTTACTTAGATTTGCCCACTGAGTATGATGTTGCTGTAGGTGTGTCATATAAGGCTTTCATTATGTTGAGATATGATTCCTTTATCCCCCTTTGCTGAGAGTTTTATGTCAAAAAAGGGTGTTGGACTTTGTCAAGTGCTTTTTCTGCATCAATTGATATAATCATGTGGTTTTTACCTTTCAGTTTGTTTATGTGATGTATCATATTTATTGATTTGCGGATACTGTACCAGCATCCTTGGAATAAATCCCACTTGGTCATGGCGTATGATCTTTTTAATGTATTGCTGGATGCGATTTGCCAATATTTTGTTGAGGAGTTTAGCATCTATATTCATCAGGAATATTGGCCTATCATTGCCTTTCTTTACAGCATCTGATCTGGTTTGGGGACTAGGGTAATGCTGGCTTCATAGAAAGAGCTTGGAAGTGTTCTTTCCTCTTGAATTTTTAAAAATAGTCTGAGGAAGATTGGTATAAATCCTTCTTCAAATTTTTGTAAAACTCCCCTGTGAAGCTGTCCGGAACTGGAGAAGATGAAGTAAAATAATCACTTTTTGCAGATGATGTGATATTATACATAGAAAAACCTTAAAGACTCCATTAAAAAAAAACACTAAATTTAATAAAAGATTTCGGCAACATAGCAGGATACAAAATTTACACCCAGATAAGTATTGCTTTTTTAGACACCAATAATGAACTCAAGAAAGAGAAACTAAAAAACAATCCCATTTACCATTGCACCAAATAAACTAAGATATCTAGGAATAAACTTAACTAAGGTGGTAATAGGTAATTGGACAGATACATGCAAAAAGATGAAACTAGACCACCAACTTACACCATACACAAAAACAAACTCAAAATGGATAAAGGACTTAAACATAAGATGGGAAACAATAAAAATCTTAGAAGAATCCATAGGCAGCAAAATATCAGACATATATCATAGCAATCTGTTTACCGATATAGCTCCTAGGACAATGGAAACAAAGGAGAAAATAAACAAAAGGGACTACATCAAATTAAAAACCTCTGCACAGCAAAAGAAGCCATCAACAAAACAAGAAAGCCCACTACATGGGAGAACATATTTTCCAACATTATATCTGATAAGGGCTTAATCACCAAAATTTTATAGGGAACTTACACAACTTAACAAAAGGAAGCCAAAAATCTAATGAAAAAATGGGCAAAGGACCTAAATAGACACTTTTTTAGATACACAATCCCACTGAGCCAAACCGGTTTCGGCAAAATAGACACTTTTTGAAAGTGGACATGTAGAAGGCCAAGAGACATATGAAAACATGCTCAAAGTCACTAATAATCTGAGAGATGCAAATCAAAACAACAATGAGGTATCATCTCACACCTGTCAGAATGGCTATCATCATCAAGTCAAAAAGTGAAAAGTGCTGGCCAGGATATGGAGTAAAAGGAACCCTTCTGCACTGCTGGTGGGAATGCAGACTGGTGGAGCCACTGTGGAAAACAGTATGGAGTTCCCTCAAAAAATTAAAAATGGAACTTCCATTTGACCCAGTGATCCCACTTCTAGGAGTATATCCCTAGAAGCTAGAAACACCAATCAGGAAGGATAGATGCACCCCTATGTTCATAGCAGCACAATTCACCATAGCTAAGATTTGGAAACAGCCTAAGTGTGCATCAGCAGATGAGTGGATTAAAGACCAGTGGTACATCTACACAATGGAATAGTACACTACTGTAAAAAGGAAGGAACTCTTGCCATTTGCAACAGCATGGATGGAACTGGAGAGCATTATGCTAAGTGAAATAAGCCAGTCAGAGAAAGATTAATATCACATGATCTCACCCATTTGTGGAATCCAGTGAACAACATAAACTGATGAACAAAAATAGAACCAGAGACATAGAAGCATCAAACTGATTGTTATACCTCAGAGGGTAGGAAGGGGAGGGGTGTGTTAAGAGATCAACCAAAGACTTGTTGCATGCATTTAAGCATAATCAATGGACACAGACAGTAGAGGGGAGAGGGCATGTGCTAGGGGACAGGAGTGGCCAGGGAGAGGTCAATGGGGGGGAAAAGGAGACATATGTAATACTTTCAACAATAAAGAATTTAAAAACAAACAAAGCAAAAATGAATAACAGTAGTTGTAATTTGGAACATGCAAATTGTAGAAAGCTATAGGGCAGTCCTTTGAGGGTTTGGGGTAGGCTATACTTACAGGCAGGAAATTGAAAGAGGGAAGAGTTCAGTTATAGTCTGTTAAAATGATATATTTTTTATGAGAGTATCTTTTATTATTATATAATACTCTTCTTGTCTCATTTAATTAGTTTGGGCCTTGAATTCTGCTTAATCTGATAATAATATAGCAGCCATGTATTCTTTTGTTTTTATTTCATTAAACAATTTTTCATCATTGAAACAAAAGCAAATCCAGTCATACAAACAAGGCTCAATTCAGCTTAAAATGTGAGCTGAATCCCACCAGAGTTATTTTAGTTCAAAATTTCTCAAGGTTGTTATGAGGCAACTCCTGACCAATTTTCATTCAGGAAAATTCCAATATTATCAGTGTTCTGTAAATCAGGCATTTACAGGAAAACGATTTCTCAGTCCTATGTGTCCTTCCTGATGACACATACATTAGATTTTCCTTTTTATATCCTCCGGTTCTATTGTAGATTGAAATTCTTTCACACTAATGAAATTAAAAAGTATTGATGTGTTTATACAGAAAAAAAGTGCAAGATATCAAAATCAATTAGCATTAAATGGTGGAGCTTAACTGACTTAATTTTCTTGGTTGCTAATCTATAGTTTCTACTTCTAGGAAAAAGGATGCATTCTTGTCTATTACATAAGACAAATATTTGAGAAACTTATTTCACAGATTATTCTGAATTGCTTAAGGCAGGGAAGGAAAGAAGTGGAGGGTTTTAAACTGAGTAATCTTTTTTTTCACTCATAATAAACTTTTATATTTATTTATTTTTAAATTTAAATTCTTTATTGTTTAAAGTCTTACATAAATCTCTTCCTCCCCCACCCCCCTTGACCTCTCTCTGCCCGCCCCCAAAGGACTTGTATGCATGCATAAACTGAGTAATCTTGAAGAGAAACGGGATCTTGTGTATTTGGGGGAAAATAGAGATTATTAGCAAAATCCTTGAAAACTCTTCAAAAGTCCAACTTTAGAAAGCTGGGCATGTGAAGTCCACCTGAGGGCCACAGTTTTGCTGAATCTAATTATCTTCCCTTTACCCTGTAGATGGTGGCCTCAGGGGTCTGTCGGTCAGATGACCATGTGACTAGTGGAAACTTTGTCACACCTCTTCCTGTGATCGCAGGCCATGAGGCAGCTGGCATTGTGGAGAGCATTGGAGAAGGAGTGACTGCAGTAAAGCCAGGTATAGAACTCCTACTGGGAGAAGGTACTGTTCAGGACCCCAAGATCACCCAGCCTGGGTGATGAAACTGAAGCAATGAGACATGCAAGACCTTGCCGAGGGCAGCAGCACAGCTAGGGCTTGAACAGAGGTCTCCTCCTTTTCTGCCCCCTTCCTGCCTCAGACATGCAT